TTCAACTTTTTCCGCACGTTTGGCAGCTTGATTATAGTCGCACCTTGGCCGTCGCGGTTTGGTAATTAAAATTCTGATGCCGGCGCGACGCCGCGGCTGCTTTTTGTAAACGTTTGATTGATTTTGCGAGATGTGGCCTTGCGGTTGGATTAATTGATCTTGAAGATCATTCAAGCTGCGAATTGAAAACATTTTTGATAAGCCATTAATATGAATATAGTTTCTTTTTATTGATATAGTCAACGCCCAAAATGGTCTTAAGAAAATAACACGTTTTACATAATTCAATATTAATTTATTAGTAATTCCAATATAGGTTGTCAGTTTTCATAATCTGTTCTTTAAAAGAAAATCCTTTTAATTGACAAGTTTTCAAAAATAAAATCTTACCGCACGAGAATTAAAATGAAAACCTTCATAATTTCATAAAAGCAAAAAAATGAAAATGTACAATATATTTTTGAAAAATATATCAGTTTATTCTCTAAAATTAATTAATTAATTTAAAATTTTTTTAAATAAAAATATAAAATGAATAACTGGAGGAAAAATTGTAAGAAGGTTTACGGCTTTTACGGTTTGTTAAATAATGTGAGCACCTCAAGCAACGCTTAAATATATTTTCGGTGGTTGAACAAGGTGGCAAAAATATTCTTTTATTACAATTCCACTTGGAATGAAAAGAACTGTATGGGTCACAAGGGGTCACAAGCTAAATTTGTATTTTTGGCTCCCTTTTCTGTATATTTCTCCTTTTAAGAGACGCAAAATTTGATTCATCATCGCGCTTTCAAAGAGGTGAATAGCAACGGCATCCTTATTCTTTGACACACTTGCGATTTTGAAAACATGTTTTTTTCACTCGACAATGCTGCAGGTAGTGCGGAGACGGGCCAGCCTCTCTTGGATAAAATCTATTGTCACCCTTTCTTTATTTGCTTCCTCCTACATAATTCAATACAAATTTCTCAATTCAATACCTAACTGCGTTGAATTCATCATTCGTTGAGCAAGAATTCCATATAATATCCATTTTCTGGAGAAAATACAAGTTTTGAATTTCTAAACCAACGGGAGAGGAAAATATTTTCAATTTGAACTTGAGATCTTGAACTCTCTTCAAGTCCTCAAGTAACAAAAGCATAACCAAGGTCTCATTTTATGAGGAGACTGCTGCTGCCTGGATATTCAATCCGCAGCATCTTTCACAATCACGTACGTGAGCTCGCTAGAATAAAAATTGTGTACTGAAAAGAGCAGCAGCAGTTGGTTGTTATACGCAGAGCTTGTGCGGGCCGAAAAGAGTCCGATTTCAGACCCTTTATTTGAAACGCAGGGATCGAGCAACAGGCGGGCAGGTGCCGCCTAAAACGCGACCGGCTGTTTGCGTCCGCCGAAAATCTGACCAGTCATCTGAAAATTATTTAATTTGAAAATGGCGAGCGGAAACAGCATGTTGCTTCTGCTGTCACGTGGAGAGAAACAGAAGGGATGATCGATCTTAACAACCACTTTTGTACCTTTAGAAAGGAAAAGACATTTGATACTTTTTTTATCATTTATTCACAACAAAGCTCCAGCTTGGAAAAATATTCAAAAAATTATAATGCAAAGTAATTATTGAATTATTGATATTTTTTTATGAAAGCAATTTTCTTTTTAGCGCAGATTGTGAATTTTATGGTGATGATGTTAGTTTCTTTCTAGTCTTTTTATTCTTCGCCTCGTTATTATGTTATTATTTCTGCTTTTGTTATTAATGTGAGTGCGTTTGCTCTATCATCGAGGAAAATCTCGGCGGACTCCCACGCGCCACTTCTTACATGACTAATCCCTCTGCAGCACCGATTTGGGCGCACAGGCCGTTAAATGGCCGCGCTTGTGTGAATAACCAGAGTTGACTCGGAAAAGGCTAACGCCCAATACAGAAGCTTCTCTTTTTTTATCGGCGCATGAATAATGACGACACATTTCATAATTTGAATGTGCGCGCTGTGGGACGCTTTTACTGGAAAGGAGCGCCAAATTGGGCAGAGGAAGAAGATTTCTGATAAATTTATTCAACAGAGAAGGAACGAACCGTCAATTTTTATGCCTTTATTTAGGCGGTTAACGACCAGATTGTATGTATTTATTTGGGTAATTTTTCATCTGCCTCTGGAAAAAAGTGCCGCTATGCACGATTGAATTAATTTATTAAAATTATCACATTTCCATATTAACTTGTTTACCAATCCGTTCAAACACGATTTTTGTTGCTTTATATTTTTAGCTCCACCAGTATTTTTGCAAAATTTATCAAGAGCAACCTTTTTCAATCTGTAAAGTAAAATTAATACAAATTGTGAAAACAAACAATTATAACACCAAAAATTCAATTAAAACCTTCTGCAAAGCGCCAACGCATGATTAATTAGCAATTTTGAAAAGAACCTCCGCGCTAATTTGTCGGATGGAGCGTGCAGCGTTCAAACGAAAAAGCTGGTGATGAAAAGCAATTTATTTCTGTAAATTAACAGGCTGCTTTTGTTATAGTCCATCGCACCTCTGCTTTTAACAAGGTGCAGCTAATTTAAAACGTTTGCAATTCCAAAACATTGTTTGACGAGCCAATAATAATTAATAATCCAAAAATCCTAAGGAGCCGTCAATCAGCTCCTCTCAGCGGCCTTCGAGCTCCACTCAAAACTGTGATTAATTCTCCAACCGCGAAAGGGGTCGCAACAAAAAATACATGCGCCGTCCGAAGGCCAAGAAACTTTTTGTGCATTTGACTTTTTGCAATTTTATTTGTTGGGCCCTCTTCTTATTTATAGAGATGATCCGGAACGCAAACAACTCGCAGAGACCGCAACCTCGAGAATAATTTGGTCGGAGCAGCGCAGTCCCATATTTTTCACGCGCGCGCTCGCGATTTTGACAGAAGCAAAGCTCTAAATTAAACAAAGTGCCGCACGTCGAGTGCGCCAGGCATTGTCAGTCTGAAGCAGTAATGATCGCATTAGAGCTGTTTGCAGAGAAGTCATGCTGCGTCTAGTGTACTTTATTGAGAGAGGGTGGGAAATCCATGCGAGCTTCGATGCTCCCCAATTTAATTCAGGCACACGCGGCGCTCTTCCCGACTTTATCAAACGTAATAACGGTCGTGATTGATGAATCTAAAGTGACTCTGGGGACTCGGCTTTGTGTGCATGTGTCGCCTCGATTCTTGTTGCGATCGCTCATAATGCAAGTGAAACGCGATACCTGCCGATGATGGCAGCGAATAAACAGTATTTTTTGACAACTTGTTTACCAAAACATTCATCATGCTTTTTACTTCAATAAACTTTAATTATAAATTTTCAAAAAAAAAGTCTTATGATTTAATTTTTTTAAAGGTTTTAATATAATTTTGATTTCTTCTGATTTGTCTCTAATGGAAAAATAAAACTGACTTTTTAATTTTTTTGAAAGCAATGCAAGCTACAAGACTGTTTACTTCTTGCGAGACGAACGTCTGTCATAACAAGCGGCGGAAAACTTTCCCAGTGGCCGTCGCCGGCCGCACACAGGTCGATTCTTCTCCAAGGTTGCACCTGGCCTCCCGCTAGAGACGCATGTGCTCCTGCTACAAATGTGAGAAATTTTGTCTCTTTGGAATAAAAAAACGCAAATCTGGGAATCAAACCAGTTGGCTGGCGCATGCGTAATGAATTTTATATTCAGACTCGCTGCTTCTCTCCTCCGAAAGGCGCCTTCACAAAACACGCTCAGCCGAATCTCGAGCTCACTATACATTTTTAATGGAGAGTGAATATTAAATTTCCGTTGCAAATACGGATAGGAAATTTTTTTGCTTTTTCATCTTAAACTTATTAAATAAAATCAAAATTTATATGTTAATTTTGTTGCCAAATTTGTATTTCGGACTCGTATATACATTTTCAGTTGGAATAGTTAAAATTTAAGTCCCAAACTTTTTGTTTTCTAAAAATATAGCGACAAACGGTTTCTCAAGGAATAATTAACACTCTGGCTGCTCTGGACATAAACAGTCGTTGCACAAGTGCATTAGATACCATCTGAGAGTGCATGAAGTCCTGTTACAATCTTGGAAAATTTTGTCTCTCGGGGAATAAAAAAACACAAACTCGCCAAGAAGCAAGAAACCCGCAGGCGTGCCAACAGGAAATACAGGCACGCCACACAAGGCAGGAAAGTTACGATCGTCGGTTGGCAGGGAAAATTGATCAGAAAATAAAAATTTCTTTGAGGACAAAGCTCACAGTGCATCATGCATCTAGAAGTGCACTTGGCTGCATTTGTAATCGACAATGCACTCTGCAGTGACAATTAAAAGCGTTAGAAACTCTCTACAGACACATGCTAACCTGTTCCACGTTAGAAAAATTTAGTCTCTTGGGAATAAAAAAAAAACGCAAACCTTGGAACTAGAAATCTGCCGACGCATGCGGTTTCATGTGCACGCGTGCTCACTATTTACCGCCGCACACACCACAACATAGGAGAGCCCTCCTTTTTTTTTCTTCAATAATTCTATGTAGTTTGTGGGAAAATAATTATAATTAGTATTTTAATTATAGAATTTTGCAATTTTCTTTTAAAATATCTAAATATTGAATTTATTTTTGCAGATAAAATTATTTAATTAAAATAAAAACCAAACCGAATAGTTACAGGCTCGTATCTGAATCAAAAGGCCAAATTCTGATAAAAGATATAATTCGCTTGTACGTACATTCCATGCATTGACCACAACCCGATTGTTTTCGGCTGTTGGGCAAAATTTTGATTTAATGACGTTTGAATTAAAATTCGGCGTTTCCTCATTGAATTATTATAGTAATTTGTGATTCCTTAGAAACTTTTTTACATGATAAACCGTGATAAACAAATCAAATAACCCATCGAGGATAAGATGAATTTCAAATTTCAATTATTGAAACTTGAAACTACAAGATGTAATAAAAAGTTAAATGTTTGTGTGTGTTGCCTACCTTCTGCCTGTTCGTTGCTCACGTTAGATGATCAGGAGCTGGCTGTTGAAAGTCGTCGTTTCGGCCCGTTCTGCAGGTGATTTTTCCGCGAAACTCGCTCACTGGTAAACAGAAAAACACGCAATGCCAATACTAAAACATGAGTGATTTTTAATGCTCGAGTGTTGGATTTTCATTCGTCAAGGAGGAGGAATTGGTAAGCAATTTGACGTAAAATTTAACGAAAGCGGCTGTAGCAAAACCTTTTATAATTTTCCTTTTTTTATCAGGTTGATGAACAATTGAAAATATTTAAATTTAAAAAATATAGTTTGAAGAACATTCATTTTAAAATATACACACTGCAGGGACAAATTTTAACAAAGACTCCTCTGGCGATCATTTATAGTTACTAAATTTTGAGCCCAAATTGGAGAGGAGCGAAATCGGGTTAAAATTGAGAAATATACCTGGTGCCACGGCTGGAACGATGATGAATTGAGGACGGCCGCCACTTGTGGCTGCTTCGGATTGATTTCACTGGATTTTTTTCGAAAAAAACACTCATTTAAGTCCCATTTCTTAACTGACACTTGAATTACAACATCACACGTGTCTCTTTGCTCTTTGTAAACAATTACTGACCCCGCCCCCTTCACCTCCGTTTTCACAAAAAAGGGCGCGATTGCATCATGCACTGATTAGTAAGTGGCGCCGCTGGCGTTGAGCGATCTGCAAAAACGGTATATCTTTAAAAAATTGATTTTGAATTTTACGAAAGCAAATAAAAATTTATCCCTCAATGCAATGATAATGAATATTGGGAGCTCAAAATTTTCTTCAACGATGTGAAATAATTAATTAAGGGTTTGCAAAGTTGTGTTTTACTAATGAAATCAAATTTATTATTATTTAATAATGAAAAATTATAATTTATCGCAAACTATGATATGATAACCTAGAGAAAATCTTTCGTTGCGTATAGCTGTTCTTGTTATTATTATTGCGTATTGTTGTAGTAAAATCTTTTTTCACATTTTAATAAAACAAATGCTCAAAAAAAGCTTTAATTTTTTTGTACTATTTATTACGTCCAAAAGCGTTTTGTTTTAGCATTGTTAGAAATTAATTTTATTTATTTCTTATGCTCCAGGAGATAAATCACTTTTCTCCTTTATTTCTAGTGTGATAGAGAAGACCTGCTAGAAACGCATTCACGCCTGCTCTTGGAGTGGAATTGAAAATCAACTGACCCTGAACGCGATCACGAAGTCTCCTGGCCAGCCCTCCCTTCCACTCACTGACCGCTCAGGCTCATTATACAGACAAAAATAAACCCTGAAAATTTGAGAGAATCGGCAGCTTGCCAAACGCCAATCGTTTCATTATTTTTGAATTGATGTGGACAACTCCTTATACGGCAGCATGTTTTTTTGCAAAGGACGAGAATTACCCTTCTCAAATAATTACATTCACATTCCTAATCCCAAATAATTGGGATTGGCGAGAGCGAGTCCAATTTAATCCGAAGATCAGAGAAAATGCCACTCCTTGCTCGGAAATAATAATCCGCTCCTAATTCTGGCGCGATTATCATCAAATTGTGCTCGAGTTTCTTTCTGATTCTCGCTCGAGGTCATGTTTCCGTCCTAACGAAAGTTGATAGGATTATTGGCGGCGTGTTGTTGTGTGCAGAGCAAAATGAATCATGGGAACATTATTTTGCGCTCGGCGTTTATTAGCGCGGTTTTCACACAAATATTAAATCAGCGCAGCAGCCATAAAGGATATGAAAAGTGGCGGCGGCGGATTTTTATTGTATCAAGAGGTAACAAGCACACTCGCACAGGATGAGCCCTTTGTTGTGATGTGAAAATAACTCGCGGCGGCGGCGGCGGCTTTTCGCCACAAGTCGCACCGGAATACATGGCAATTTCATTAGCCTATTTCTTCTTGCAGTTGTTTACAAGAGCACACACATGACGCCTCGCTTGCGGGAAAAGCGAGTGCTTTTTTCTGCAAACCAGATTGTCGCGATACATTTAAACTTTCATATTGGTTTGAAAGACGTGCATGGTCGCAACGGAAAGTAGATTGTTTGTGAGAATATAATGGGAGAAAGTGCACATAATTCAATACATTTGGAAATCTGATAAAATATAAGAATAAATAGAATAATTTATTAAAAACAAAGGTATAAAAAATTATTATTATTATAATGTATTTAATTAAAATGCCTGGTCTATTAATTAAAAATTAATATTGTTAAATAAAACAATGATTACATAAATTAAAACCAATAAAAACACAATTTTGTGTACAGAAAAATATTAATCTAATAATTTTTTTATATCGAACATTAAATTAAATTTAAAATATGCTATATAAATAAATTAGAAAATTTTATTAAACACAACACATATAAATAAATGTGTTTTTTTTTTTTTTTTCAAATCGGATAATTCAGTAAAGTTATTTCTCAATGTGCTGGCCGCTGCTTTTGAATGCGTGTGAGCATAAATCGTAATTATACCGGCAATAAATACTTGGCATTTAAAATTTCTCAATAATTTAATAACGTGTCTTGAGCATTTTCTGCAACACGCAGAAACAGAGCAGCTCCTTCAGAAGCCGAGGCAATAAATTCTGCCCGAGCAAAACACCAACTCATTTCGACTCTGGTGCGTTGACAGAACGAAGTGCATGATGCAGCATTGTAGGTAAAAGCTTTTTGTGCAGCATTCCATGAAATATGCGTTCGAAAACGAGCATTTCTGAAGAAGAGGTCGCGCACAATTAGCCGCCATTATTCATACCTGCAAATGAAAATAATTGCCAACGATAATGCTGAGTGTGTGTTCTGAAGGGGAAAAGCGTGTTTTCATCGCGTTTTGAATAATATGTGCAGTGCGTGAAACTTTTCTCATAAATTTTATTTTCAAGAGACCAGAGATGATGGATGTAGTTAAGCGCATGTTTCACGCTTGAGAAACGGCAATTTGTTAAAATTATACATACAAATGTTAAGAACTTCAAAAAAATCGATTTCATCTCTGACTTAAAATTAAACCAACTTGTTATTTTTTATGAGGACAAAGAACAGCTAATTAGATAATTTTCTTTTGTTGCACTCAGCAGAGATGCAATTAAATTTTCACACTTCATGCCGGCCGATCAGCCGCTGATTAATGAACAATGATAGGCTTTCTTTTCCAATCAAATTTGTCCTCGACTTGAATAATTAATTAGCCTTTCTCAGCTTCAGTCCAGGATCCTGTTATGCCCGATGCACTGCTTCTTCTTTAATTCCTTTTAGTGCATCGCTCTTTAGACGAGAGGAGTCGTTCTGCCGGTAGGAAGCACACCTTTCCTGAGCCAATGATTAATGAGCGGTTGCATTTCTCCTTATCCTCGAGCATGTTTCACTCCTGAATATTCATCATCTCTAAGCCTACCTATGCATTACTGCAGCGTTGCACAAGAGTTGCTATCAGTCACTGACTTTCCAAAAAGAGCCCTTTTTATTGAAAAAAACATTTCATAATTCAATTAATTAATTTTCATTTTTTTATAGGAATAAAAATGTTTTTTTTTATCCAGTTTGCAAAATATAATTTCACGTTGCATCATCCTAAATAAGAGGAGTGAAAGTCTCTTAATCTTTTTTAGTCATCTGTCCCCTTTTGTTGTGGGCCCGACGTGTATATTTTTAACACCTCCCAGAGGCACGCCCGTGATTAATGCATCCATTTATTGTTGTAATTCCGCGGCAATTAATATTCATGCGCTTGTGCTTTATGTGTGTTCAGCGCCTCGTTCTATTTGGAGTGGGACTTTCGTGCGGTAGTGGAAAATTCGTCGCATTTCCCGCGAGCCAACCGGCTAGACAAATTGCAAGTGGGACTTGGACAACAACGACACAGAAAACCAGAAAAGCCGATTTTTACCAACTTGAATTTGTATAATAATATGAGCTGTTGCAGCTTAATTAAGGTGTTTATTATATTTTAGACTCTTATAAAAAAGATAAGAATGTGTTCAGAATAATAATTGAAAAGCTAACAAATTTCATAAATATTGATTTTTTAATTTGAAGTTTCTTATTTTCGATATTAAAGAAATCGTAAAAAATTGAAACCAAGTGAACCTCGTTGGAAATTTCTTGCAAAGTCACAGTATGAAGCTGTTGACTGACTCCTTTGCTTAATTAATTTCTGCAATTTTTGTTTATTAAAATTAAATTCTCCCCCGTTTTATTTTTTTTTTTTTTTATGATTTCCTCCCACTTATTGTTAGGTTTAGTTCGGACACGACAAATCCAGCAGACCGCAGGTCGCCTTTTGGGAGGTCAGTTTTGTCCTTTATTATTTTTTTCATTTTTCTTTGCAACAAGGCTCGCCCATTTCGCTTCCATTTTTCAATTCAAATTAAAAAAATCACCACTTATTTTTTTCCACAATGTAAACTTTCCTATTCTAAATGATTATTTTTTAATTATTTTTTTTTTCTGTTGAAAAAAGAAATAAAAACTATTTTGGTTCATCTAATGAGAGGCAAATAATTGCACCTCTAATTTAAATTTTACTTCTGTATATTTATTATTTTGATCAAACATCAGATGCCAGTACAGGAACATCTCCCTCCAAATTTACATATCATTCATATTCCCTGCTGCTCCCTTTTAATTCAGAACGAGAAAACGCACTTCAGAGACGAAAATAATTGCAAATGCACCGGCGCAATCGAAACAAAACAAATCTCATAGTGACTCACGCTGCACCCAAAGCTCTTTCTCTCGCACGTGTAATTCCACCGATTCATCATCTGCGGTCCTGCGTGGCCCATCAAGCAATCAGTCACATCCAAACTCGGATCCATCACTCGACGCAACCCCCGCTGCAGCTTTTTCCCATTTGCTTGTCCCACCCAGACGGTGCGACCCGAAACGACCCCAAAACGCGGCACAGATGCTGACGGAAAAGAGCCACACTGCAATTTTATAGTTTTTCAGGTTCGCACGCCTTAATCCTAGACATCCTTTCTCACAGCCACGCTCGAATTCGACATGCCTCTTTGCTGAGGCCACGCGTGTAATTTATTTCGCATTTCGCGCCAAAGTGTGATCCGTTCAAATAAATTGAGACAATAACTCACTCTGGATTAAGGATGCTGAGCCCGAAAAATTATATTCGGCCTCTCTTTATCATTTCGCGACTTCAATTGCTGCAATTTTTGTTCTGCAAGTTCTGCACGAAATGGCATCATTTATAACACACTCTGGTTGACCAGAAAAAATTGCACAAAAAAAAACATTTTTAGGCTGGCTACATTATTTGAATTTCTATGTCAATTTAAAATTTTTTTTAAACTGGAGTGTAAAATTAAAACTTTGTTGGATGATACCGAAGTTGAAATTATATTCAGTTCACAGGATGATAAACATTAACATTTTTCTTATCTCAAAAATTACATTTTTTTACTTATTTTATCAAAATTGATAAAAAAAATGCAATAAAATATTTTGATAATTTATTAACAATTTCACTTCTTTCAATCGGTACTTTCTAGCTAATTAAATTGTTTAAAATAATAATACCGCTGTAAATTCTAAAGTTAAATAATTTGAATTTTAACACTTTTAGATTTAAAACTAAAACTACTAAATTAATGAAGAAAAAAGCAATACAATAAATAATACATAATTAATGACAAAATAACAGTATTTTGCCATTATAACAATTCTATACAAAAGCCAAATAATTATTTATGCAAGGAACTTGTTCCTTTCTCAGCTCAATCTAGTTTTTTAATGAAATGGCACTATGAAATAATTAATTAACCGTTTCTCCATCGTGGAGTCTGTCTTTCTTTCTCTCCACTGATGTGCAATCAGTACAGAGAGCGTGCGAGTGACTCATTTTATGTGAAACCCACACTCGGCAGAGTTTATTTTGTAAACACTGTAACGGTCATCTGCGAGTGAGAATACAAATGAAAAAATAATAGTGCCCTGATTACAATTGTGGGAGAACCGGTTGCGTTAGCTCGGCTTCGTATTTGGCGTGCAACGATTCGCAAATTTGGTCATTCGGGTAGAAAAGAGAAGAAAAAGCGGCCGACGCGATCACGATTTCCAAGCAAAACGCACACAAAGTAATCAGTCCGGCCATCAAGCAGCAAGAGCAAACAACAAATAGACCATAAATACATCTCAGGGATCGAGAGAGAAAATTAATTCCGATCACATCCAACACTTCTTTGACGGACACGCCGTCCTACAAGTCTGCCGCGCGTGTGAGAAAACTGCAGGTTATGAATAAAGCACGAGATTGGTTCTCATTAATTCGGCGGCGGCTCATTAGTGAGGCAGATCGGCCAGATTAACAAAGTTACGACGGACGATGGGAAAAAATCAAACCTTGCTTTGCTTTATTTCAATTATTTATCACCAGACCCTATACTCGATAGGAGCAGACGCTGGTCTAATTTAATTTTATGTCTTTTCCGAGTAGAAAAAAACGTCTGCTATTCCCACCGGTCAAATGTCGCCGCGGCGGACAGACTTGGATTTATTTTGGCTCGACGACTCATGCAATATTAAAATTTAATTCTCAGCTCTGGCGGCGAATAAATTTACATAAAGGAGGAGCAGAAATCTGGTGTGTCTCTTTTAGAGAGAAAATCTCTGCTCAGATATTTGACACCCCTGCTTTTATTGTAAAGTCAAAGACGCGGAGGGTTGTTTTTTTCCTCTTATTCTCTCACTTTCTTGAGGGGGTGCTGCTGTGTTTCTGTCCCTCCCATGCTCGGGGGTTGAAAGATCTCCGTCGGGGCACTTACAGCATCTCACCATCGAAAACTAGTCAAGCAGAGAACGTTATGGCATGTGAATAAAAAATATTACCAAACCCAGCAAGAGAGGGAACCTATTCAAGGTGCGCCGTTGCAGACAAAATGCTAGGAGACAGCTAGCCAAATGTATTCAAAGCCGAGAGGGAAGGAGACAGAATTATTATTGTTATTTTGGTTTTAATCCTTATCAAGTTACTGAATAGGAAAGTTCGATTGTTGACGGATCGAGACGACGAGGGCGAAACTTTTTCTAATAACACACGCAACCGAGGGTGTTCCATCTATACATTTGCCGAATGAAAGGAAAATCTTGATGGGTTTCGTTCTCCAGGTCCTTACATAGAAAAGCTAGACTGCCGAGGGGAAAGTGAAACGAAATCTGACCAACTGTACTGCAACAAAAAAGCCTATTGAAAGTTGTGGAAAAGTTCTGAGAAGCCTGGAAGATTTTTTGTACATGAAACCACCATAAAAGTCATAAAAATAAAAGAAAAAATCAGAGTATATCTTTTCCCCAAAAATGATAATCAATTTAAAAATTAAGTTTTTTGTGTTATATAATATATAGTGTTTAAAAAAAATAAAACCTTTTTAGCATCTAAAAAATTTAATTGATTAAATTCTACAAATTAGCTTCTTTTAGTAAATTAATAAATCCCAAAATAAGCTCCGAGCTTAACAAAATGATTATTTTACTTTGCAAGTTTTAGAAACCTATGGAAATAAAAATTCATGATAATTGCGAGAACAATTTGTGGCTTGATTTGCAGCAAATTCTGGTTGGATTTGGTGCCACTTTGGTTGGTTATCACTGCTATCGGCTGCCAGGACTACATGCTGAATGGAGGTGGAATAAAGTTTGGTTGATTTTAAAATTTTAAACATGTTATTCTACAACATTTGCCAAAGGAAAGGAAAATCTTGATGGGTTTATTTATACTCCAGGTCCCTACACAGAAAAACAAATAATTTTTATTACTAGTAGATAAAGCATGTATTTCTCAAAAAAATAAAAAAAAATAAAATAAAAAATAGAATTTATAAAATTCTGTATTACCTCATTTTAGTAAATTAATAAACCAAGTGAACTCATGACTGCTTAATTGATCCCGAAAATAAGCTCAAAATTTCACAAAATGATTCATGGCAAGAACCCTTATTTTAAATAATATTTCATGTTCCATTTTCCAGTCAGGCGCGCGTGAATATATCCCATTATTCGGCAAAAAGGTTATGGGGTGGCATAAAAGTGAAATATCGGCACTCAATGGAGAATAAAGATTAAAAAATTCCACGGCAATAAAACGGCCCGGCTTATAAATTCGAAAATTTATGTTTGCAGAGAAGATAAGTCTATATAAAAGGTGGTCCTGCGAGTTATACGTGACACAAATTTGAGGTCTCTCTTTGTCTTCTCGGAACGGCAAATTCCTTTGTGCAAAATCTGTGGCTCTCTATAAATTTCAACAGCTCCGAGGGCACAAAGCCACCCATTAATCACGTTCGCAGCAAGTCCTCCTAGAAAAAATATAAAAAACGGGCTTAAAAAAGTAGTAGTTCCATTCGTCATCCCGATTTAAATGCGATTTAATGAGTGTCCGAGGCAGAACCCCTGTGCGCAGCAACAAAGGAGAACTTTCGCAAGCAAATTTTTCACCGTCCATAAAAAGCGACGCGCAGAAAAATTCCGCAAATTTTATGGCTTTTCTTTTGCACTACTGTTCGCTGCTGCCAGCTAAAAAATAACACACGCGCGTAATTTACAGCCGGAGCAAAACACAACACTGGTAGTAAATATCTCGAAATTTCTCTCTCCTCTTGCGGCGTAAAGAAATGTGCGAATATAAAAAATCAGCGGGTGCCGATAAATCAAGTTGTACATGTCTTGACACCCTCTCCGCTTGTGCGTATTATTTATGCATTTTTTGGATTGGTAATTTTCATATCTGAACCCGCAGCACGATTAACGGCTGCCCGATTTATGAATAATTCACGATCAAAACCCGTTCTGATAAAACAGCACACCGCTAATCAGCTAAAAAAAATTGGCAACAGGTCTTTTCAAGCAGCTGCACGATTTATCCAAATGCCATCCGCATATTTTTCATATCATAAAAATTTTCCCCTCCAAAAAAGCAGAGAATCATAAATAATAAAAAATATGCAAGAATTTTAGTCATAACTGCTTCATCATCTCTAAATTCATGCGCATACCAAAATTTTTGTTTTCAGCGGAATTTTTACCTTTTTTTTTCAGACAAAAAAATTTTATTTGTCATTTGCCCTCATTTTCATTATAAAAATACTTCTTTTCACATCGCCTCGTCTCTCTTCCTGCATGTATGATGGTAATTTGTCCGGTGGTAAATCTTACTCTCAGCGTGTAGAACATGGGTTGGCTTTTAACTCGCTCTCCGCAGTCAGTAATCCTTTTCTTTTCTGGGCGCTTTGTATTATATTAGTTGGAGAAGGAAATAGTGGCCTGCTGAGTTCAAGAAAAAATTATTTTCATTCGCGTCCTCCTCTCTTGGGGTGTGAGCCGAGCTTGGATTCGTCCTGCCCACTATTTTGTATATAAATAATCGTGCGCTGGCTGTCCAAACAATTATCATATCTCTAAGTGCATCATGCACGGAATTATAATTTTAATGTTTACAAATCGCCTCATATACTCACTCAAGAGAGGCATCCGGAATATACACGGAGAAAAATAAATACCAGGTTTGCCTAGTTAACTCAAATCTAACTAGGTGATTGTAAATTTAACTACATGAAATATGTTATTTATACGAGGCGGATAGTAAAAGCAACAAGCTCGTGCCTAGTAAAATTATCCAGCATGGTAACTTAGTAAATTTAACTAGGTAGCCCAGTGACAGTGGGCACAACTGGGCAGTAACTATTCTACCTTGTAAAATGCGCAGAGTTAACTTGTTCAAGGCGCAAGATAACGACTAGTTAATTTTACTAGGCTAGAGTTTAGTTAATTTTACAAGTTGAAAATTGCAAGTGTAACAATTTTTGAGCAGTAACTTTCACAGAGAACATTGTTAGATGTACTTTTACATTTCAATACCTTGTACTTTTAACAAACACGGCATTGTAACCAAGACTTCTACGAGTTGATTCCACAAAGTAGACTAGTAAAATCAACAAACCTTCCTGTAGATTTTGAATTTTTATGAGCGGGAACATTTTATTTTTGTCATTGCAGATAATTAAATATTTTTTTATTTAAAATATAATTAGCACTTCCAACTCTTTTCATTCTGAATTATTTAAAAAATTATTGTAATTTTAAATTGATATTTTTCTCATGATTAAACTAGCAGCAGAAAAAAATTAAAAAAATATTTTCTTAATAAATGTTATGTTTCTCCGTAATAAATGGTCAAATGAAGTTATTTTTGCTTATATAAAAAATTCCGTACTATTTCAAAAATTCAATTTTTTTAGACCCTTTGTATTATTTACTATTATTATTTTACTTCCAAAGGTGCAAACTTTCAAAAAAATTATTTATTTGGCAATAATTGAGATTCTTGACCTAATGAGTTATTATATCGTGATCTAAAAATAAAATTGAAATAAAAAATGAAAAACGTTTTTGTCAAAATTTGCAACTTTCAAATGAACTCTTTATACCGAGTTTGTATTTGTATGATGAGTGTCTGGTTTGGTCTGGTTGATGAACTTGCAACGTTTTAAAAAGTTCGTTACAACTTTTACTAAGCTACCTTGTGGAATTTACTAGATACATTGTAACTTTAACAAATCTTCCTAGTAACAAGGTGCGCGGCGTCTCGGCGCGCGGACCGAGTCGCCATCATTTCCTTGGAAAAACACAAACCGTGTGCACGTTTCTGCGTCGCTTTTTGACTAATTTCAGTTTAATTTCCGTTTTGGATGTGATTCTGGCTGTCTGGAGGAAAATTTAACATCTGACAATGCACTGGCATATCAAGGTAAATAAATTTACTGGGATATTTTCTGCAGTGTGTGTGAAATTGTCTCCAATCTCCAATTTTATGGAGAAGCAAACTTTTAGCTTGGCCATACCGTATTCAAAATATTTAATCGCTCTTTTAAAATTTCAGCAGTGGCCTAAAGCTGACGTCGTTGGAAATAAGCCAGTTTTAAGGAGAGTTTGGTAATTTTGGACTTGCATTCCGCCGATTAAATTGAAACAAGATTTTGAAACCAAGAAAGAATTCAAGGTAAATATTCTGCAATAATCTATTAAAAATGTGACCAACTAAATATTTCTCTACATATTTGTTCGCAGGATAAGCATTTTTGTGCTGAAAATTGACAAGAGCTCTTAAAGGATAAATGTTTGAATACACCAAAAACGTGACCACCAGGGCAATACCCTAGCCGTCAGAAGAGATTGACCTTTGACAGCATTTAATCGCGTAGACTGGACACCACCTAGACTCTGGACATCTGAATCCTCCCACGCAAGACGCAAGTGCAACTATTTTGATAAGTACAAGAACCCTTCTTACAACTTTTGTTTTTTGTTAGTTTTTTTCTACCATTCAACACTCAAATCACATAAATGCTTTACTAAAATATCTTAAATTTTTTGAGCGTTGAATGATTTTTTTACATGTATGTGTAAATTGCTAAAAATTATTTTGTATTTTATTTTATGTGACAAACTGCAATAAATAAAAATTTAATGTACAAAATACAACTTATTTTACTCTGTACCAAGAACATTCCCAACTTGTAAAAAATACTGATCAAAAATAGTAAAAGCAACAAATGAAACCTAGTAAAAAGTAACAAACGGAGGAAAGTAAATCCAACAAACCTACCTAGTAAAAGCCAGCTCCGTTTTTGTCTAGTAAATTTAACAAGGTATGGTCAGTTGAAAGTACAAGGTAAATGGAGTACAAATCCAGCTTTTAAATGCCTAGTGAATTTAACAAGGTAACCTAGTAAAAATCATTTTACTAGCCCATACCTTGTAAAAATAACTAACCTCAGGACCTGAGGCACTTTTAACAAGATTATTCTAGTAAATACAACTAGAACCTAGTGAAAATTTTTCTGTGTGTAATAACATAATAAAAAAATATAGTATAATTTTAATATATAACAAGGTTTGGCCTTATAAATAATGCATGTGTATTCTCTTAAGAATGTATTGAACTTTTTACAGATAAAAACACAGGAATGTCATCAGATATAATTAATTTATTAAGTTTCTGGTAAAATAAATCAATTTTGTCGCAATACCAAATTGAAACTTCTAGGTTTTTATAGGAGAGTGGTTTGATGTCAGCAGATAAACAATTTTGGAGCTAAAACTTTCCAGACTCGATTATTGACGCGACGTCTGTAAAGGTTTCTTGAGCAAATAGATTTCATTTTTATGAAGCCAAGTCACGGGACAAACCAATTTCCTTGCCGACACAAAAGGCTATATATAATAGTGATCAGAGACACGTCCACCGGATCAAAAACCAACAAAATGGCACGGCATTGTAGTTGCTCCGGACTGGCCGAGATGGTCTATGATTATAGGAAGGTACATAAAAGCAATCTAAAAGTGTCATCATTTCAAATTTGATTTTTCGTTTGTGTGCCAGAATGCACACCTTGCAGTGTTTAATCTGGGCGATCTTTATCTTCTTAATAAAAAGATCCAGCTTTTTAATAATAGAGAAGAGTCTCCTCTCTTTGAGAAAGAGCTGCGGACGAAATAAAAATGATATTAAACTTTGGTGCCGCGCCGAGTGTTTATAAACGTCGACGGGAGGAATGTGCTCCGGCTACCGAAGGCGAAGGACCTGCGCTGGAAACTGGCTCGCGCGTATCATCATCTCGAGTCGCCGCAGGGCCGCTTCTTATTTTTTATAACGCTTTTCGGTCACCCCGCGTGCCTTTTCCCGCACGACGACACCGAACGCAATTTTCACCAAAAAAGATTTTCGTCTTCATTTGAATGCCTTGGAGGCGAGGAGTCGATTTTAATCACGAGAGCGGTCCAGATTTATTTTTTACGACTGATTTATGGAAATTGCTTCGATTTGGTGCTTGTGTTGAAATCCAGCAGCAAACTCGAAAGGCCTGCGATGAAAGAGAAGTGGAAAGAGAGTGCTTGAGAGACTCTCTTGAAGCCTCTCTCTTGTTTTAAAGTTTGTTTGGCGCGCACGCCGAAAACGGAACACACGTTGAGAGCTTTTGGAATTTAAAAAGGGCCGGAGCGAAAAGTTGCTCCGTGCCTTTTGCGATCAAAGTTGCTGTTTATTTACAAACTATGCAGGCGTGCCGCGCCCGGCGCCACTGCAAACTTCTCAATATATTTGCAAAGTTGAGTCGTGAATTTTATATGCTGCCAATATGGTCTGCTCATCCCAAATTTAATAATGGATCTAGGAAAAATTGTGAGAAGAATTTTTGTAATAAGTAGCTAACTTTCTTTTCTTTGCTTTCCTTATAAAATTCATCCAAATTTGTTTTAATTTAATGTGAATTTGAAAATCATATTGAATGCATCTGAATAGAGAGTAAATTAATAATAATATTAATTAATAAATTAATTATTTAAAACCTTGTTTTTTCTCCAAAAATGATGTCAATACAATATATTGTAAAAAATTGGTTAGGAGAAATATAGGGATAGTGCTATAGTGAACAGCTCACTGAAACTCATTTTCCAAGTGCAATGCTATTAAATTAATAATTTTAAATAAATGTAAATGAATAAACAAATGAATGAATAAATAAATACTTTTATTCACTATAGTTTATATGTTTTTTTTAATATAGTTATTTTATTTTTATGTTTTATAACCTATCTTTTGCTTTGGTGTTAAATTTTGAAAAATATTTCAACACACGCTTTTCTCATTTTCTTCGCGGCTCGCATTCCAGAGTCCATTTCCGAGCTGCATCTGCGTGCAATAAAAATACACAAAAGTTCGCTGCTCTAAAAAGCCTAAAAAGATAAAAATAAAAGATTTCCACTCGAAAAAGTTCAGGCCAGACCGTTTTATACTCTATATTCTGTGGCATGGGCATAAAATCGACCTCTCCAGTACATAAAATTTTAATATTCTCACTCGAAAAAATATTTTTTACGAGGGCTCGTCCGTCAGTCATGGTAGAAAATAATTTCGGTGCACTTGGCCGGGATAGTATATTTTTGACATAAAACCAGAGCCAGGAATCCCTGCCCGTTCTGGCGTATTTAGCGTCGCCTCATAAATCCCATTCTGTTTATATCTATTTTCCCAAAAATTCCGCCTGCAATAAGAACCGCGGTGACATATTTCGGCCGCTCAATGGACCATTTATGCGCGTCGCAATTGTACTCAAAATTACGTGCGCTCTTCTCTCTCTCTCATGAAAGCTGCTGTTATTGTTGCGCACCCAAGGGGACGATTCGAGCCGTAAAATAGTCTGGCTGTCTCCACACAAATAAAAAACGGTCAAAACGGGAGAAAAATATCCGCACATAAAAAACAGGTCGCACACAAGGACAACGAGGGGTGCTTTTTTATCGTCGGCACCTGAATTTTTTTCCAGTAAAGCACCCTGACTCGGCGGGAGGGTAGCGTCAAAGACAGGCTTCGCCCTGAGATGAGGAAAATATATGAGACGTTCTAAAAGGGTTTTGACATTTTTCAGGCAGAAAACATGCCCCAGTCACACAATCTTTTGTCAAGCATCTCGAGACACGTTCAACCTTGCGTGTTGGCGCCAACTCCCTTAACAATGAGGGCTGTTTGTTTTGATTTTTCCTGAGAGACACTTGTTAGAGATTTTGATCCTCTTGGATGCTGAAGGGGAAGCTATAACGATCGTTTTTTTTTACCTGCGTTAGAACCGAGTTGAGGATGGCCTAGTAACTATTTGAATAATAGAAAATTATTTAATTTGTTTTTTATATTTAGAAAAATAATTTTAACCAAATTATATCCATATAATTATATTTTTGTCTAAATTTTAATGTAATTTGTTTTATTTATTTAAATTAATTGAAATAGTTGGGAATTCTCAAAACTAATGCATTTAGAAGTATTACTACTGATTTATTTTTTATTTTTCTTCTTTAGTTAAATTTATTTTATAAATAACAATCGATAATATTTATTTTCTATCTAGGAGCGGATAACTATTCAACCTTCTGCGGACGCATGAAAGCTTTGCAAAGTTTGGGTGATCTACACTGCTGTGCTCGGGTAGGGAATGGAAGCAGCAGTTGAAAAACAACATCCACCCAGCAGGCAGGCAGCCAGCAGCGCCCTTCTCGACCAGCAGCAAACATTATTAATTATTATTATTATTGTTTTTGCCTACATGCATTTTGTTGTTTGCGTTTTAGGATGGGTCACAAGCTAAGTTTTGAATTATGAAAAATTGCCCTCCGCCGGAATATTCTTTTATTTGCCAAAATACTATGTGTTTGGAAATTACAATAAACGCGATAAACCATAATTATTTTAAATTAATTATCAATTTATTTTACTTATTGTAAATATATTTTAAAGCTCTCTGCACTTCTATTTTGCACTCTTTTTGTGTGATTCAAAAAATTTTCAACATCAATTTTGTTAACTTTTAAGAACCGCTTTTCTCTTATCGTGATTGAGGAAGAAACCATCTGCTGCTGCATGAAAGCCTGTTGAAGTTTGGGTGATGTTCGGCTGGACTCGGGTTGGAATTCTGGGAAGCGTTGAAAAGCAACATGCACCCAGCAGTAGCGTCTGCTCCAACCAGTCTGCGGCCTGAATACAAACATATTTATTTTAGCAGAGAAAAAGACATCAGAGGATTTTCAATAAACTTTAAATTAATATAAATTTGTGCATGCAACACAAAGTAAACTACATAATTTTTTAAAAATGTGAAAAATAGTGCATAAAGTTATCCGTTTCTTAACGTGAACTTTATACATTTATTATTGCTTACAAAAAATTCAGGGTAGTATTTTTTTATTAATCATTTGATCCAACAATAAGGTGGGACGATTTGCAAGTACTTCATCTTTTAGCAATCTTGCTTTAACAAAAAGAAGGTGAAAAATAAAAGGTAAAATAATCGCTGTATATTATCAGCCAAACAGGAAACCAACCGCACCTCCTACTGCCGCATGGCAGCCTGGCAGAGCTGGTGGCCGAAACCCTGTAGGAATTGGAAAACCTACCTCGATTCAGCCACAGCCATGGCTCTCCATATCAACAGCGGCAGACTCTGGTTCGTTGCTATGTCAATTTATTATTCTTATAAATAATATAAAAAAAATCGAGATCATAACGTGATGAGGTAAACTTATAAATTTTGTCTCATGAATCTCCTATCTTACGTAAAGTTTAGGATGATTCAGAACAAAAACTATTAATTAAAAAACTTAAATGTACATAATATTCCAACTATTAATAGAATAAACGAGATATTATTTTATAATTAAATAATAAAGAGTTTTTAACACGATTCATTAAACAGGTAAGTGACGGAGCTGCAAATATTTTTAGCATTTATTTCTGTGTATGTTTGAATGCAAATTTTAATGCATAAAATTGTCTCATTTCTTTGCATTTCCAAGCCTTCCTAAACTTAAGCGAGAGACCAGCAACCAACCCTCTGCTGCTGCATTGAAGCCTGGCAGCGCTGGTGCCGAAACCGGGTAGGAATTGTAAAGGCAGTACAAAACCTACATTGATTCAGCCACGGCGCTTCTCCCGACCAAACAGCGCGCGGCCCATTCTAAATTTCTAACTTCTAACCAAACTTTACTGAGAAATTTAACATTTAATGTGAATGCAAATACACCAAGTAACAAAGCAATGCTCTGAATCCACATTAAATTTATTTTAAACATTTTTATTAAAATTGAAACTGCAATACAAATTATAAAAGAATGCGCTCTTCAATCACAAAAACCCACTTGCACTAAAAAATTACCAACAACTTACCTATTTCATGTATTCTTTAATTTGCTTTTATTACTTAATAATGCATCATATTAAGTGATCAATTTAATTTTAATTAATAAAATTGAAAAATTACAGGTCTATAAAAATTTC